AAGAAGAAGAAGAAAAGATAATGAATAATGAAAAATAATAAAGAATGAAAATAATATCAAGAATAGTAATAAAAAGAATGAAAAGACAGAAGATAAAAAAGAAGAAACAGAAGATCAAGAAGAAGAACAAGTAAACAAATAAAGAAAAGGAAGAAGAAGAGACAGCAAGAGAAAGGAGATAGGAAGACGAACAAAGGAAGAAAAGGTCGGAAGGTCAAAAGAAGGTCAGGATAAAGGGAGGAATGTTTGGTGCGTTTGTGTGTCTGTTTGTTCGTTTGTTTGTTTGTTTCCGTGTGTGAGTTTGTGCTTGTTTGTTTGTTTGTGAATTTGTTTATTTGTGCTTGTGTGTTTGTTCGTTTGTTTGTTTGTTTCCGTGTGTGAGTTTGTGTTTGTTTGTTTGTGAATTTGTTTGTTTGTGTGTGTGTGTGTGTTTTGTGAGTTTGTGTTTGTTTGTTTGTGAATTTGTTTGTGTGTGTGTGTTTTTTGTGAGTTTGTGCTTGTTTGTTTATGGATTTGTTTGTTTGTGTGTGTGTATGTTTTTTGTGAGTTTGTGCTTCTTTGTTTGTGAATTTGTTTGTTTGTGTGTGTGTTTTTTTTGTGAATGTGTGTTTGTTTGTGAATTTGTTTGTTTATGTGTTTATGTATGTTTTTTTGTGAATGTGTGTTTGTTTGTGAATTTGTTTGTTTATATGTTTATGTATGCTTTTTTGATTGTGTGTTTGTTTGTTTGTTTGTGCGCGGGCTTGTGTGATTGTTTGTTTGCGAATGTCTGTTTGCTGGTTTGTGACATGTTTGTTTGTATGTGTTTATGCTTGTGCTGTTTGTTAGTGTCCGTGTTTGTTTGTGCGTGTGTGCCTTCATTGCGTGTGTGCGTCTGTGCATTACTTAGTGTGCGCGTGTGTGCGTCTGTGCATTACTAAGTGTGTGCGTGTGTGCGTCTGTGCATTACTTAGTGTGCGCGCGTGTGTGCGTGTATCTGTATCCTCACCTCTTGTGTATAACGAGCGGACCTCACGCAATATCCTAGCGAGTGGATATGTGCGTTGTTAGTCGTGTCACGGTGGAGTATGCCCCTCCCCCCCCTTTCCCCCCACTTCCTCTCTTTCTCCCCCCCCACTGTTCCCATTCCAATCCCCCTTTCCCCCTTCCTCCCTTCTTCTCTTTCTCCCTTTTCCCATTCTAAATCCCCTTCTTACCTCTAGTTCCACATTCCTACCCCTCCCCTTCTACCCCCTATCTCTCTATTCCTATCCCCCTCTTTCCCTGTCTCCCCATTCCTACCCCTCCCCCCTAGTTTCCACATTCTTACCCCCTCCAGCCCTGTCTCCCCATCCCTACCCCCTCCCCCTATCTCCCATCCCAACCACCCCCCTCGTCTCCCCCCTTCTCTGCTACACTCCTACCGACACCCCCCCCCCCCACACACACACGCTCTCTTCCCCAATCATCAACGGAACTTAATGTGCGATCATGAACACTTTCTCCCCCTCCTCCCCCCCACCACACACATCCCCTCAATTCCTCCGTCACCCCCTCCTCCCCCCACCCCACACGCCACCAATTCTCCCCACACACCCAATTCCTCGTCACCGCCACCCCACACACCCCCAATTCTCCGTCACCCCTTCCCCTCCCCCTCTCACCTCTTCAAACCCGCCAATTTCTCCGCCCACACCTTGCCACCATCCTCCTCCCCTCCCTTATCCATCTTCCGCCACCCCCCCCCTTATCCAACTTCCGCCACCCCACCCCCCTTACCCCTAATTCCTCCCTCTATCGGTCCTTCACATCTCCCCCCCCTTCCCCAATCTCTCCTTCAACCCCTCCTCCCCTTGATTCTCCCCCCCTCTCCTATCTCCCTTTCCCTCTCTCCTATTCCTCCGCAATCCCCTCCCCTCTCCTCTTCCCCCTATCTCCTCTCCATACCCAAATTCCTCCGCCACCCCCTCCCTTTCCCCTAATTCCTCCCCTCACTCAATCTCCCCTTCACACCTCCCTCCCCCAATCTCCTTTCATGCCTCCCTTCCCCCTAATCTCCCTCCAAACCCCCTAATTCCTCCGCTACCCCCTTCCCCCATCCTCTTCCACCTCCCCGCCTTCCCCCAAATTCCTCCGCAATCTTCCCTTCACACCTCCCTCCCCCCTGATTCCTCCCCCCTGCCCCTTCTCTCCTATCTCCCTTCCCCTTCCCTTCAACCCCTTCCCTATCCCCCTTCAACCCCCCCTCCCCCTGATTCCTCCCCCTCCCCCTCCCTCTATCTCCCCTTCCCCTTCCCTCCCCCTATCTCCCCTTCAACCCCCTCCCCCTATCTCCCCCCTCCCTTTCCCTCTTCCCTCCCTCTCCCCCTATCCCCCCTTCCCCTTTCCTCTCCCACTCCCCTACTCCCCTTCCCTTTATCCCCCCCTTCCCCTTACCCTCCCCCTATCTCCCCTTCACACCTCCCTCCCCCTCCCCCCCTACCATCCCCTCCAATCTCTCCCCTCCCCCTTCCCCCTCCCCCTCCCTCTATCTCCCCTTCACACCTCCCTTCCCCTTCCCTCTCCCCCTCCCCTTATCCCCCCTTCCTCTCCCCTTCCCACCTCCCCTTCCCTATCTCCCTTCCTCTCCCCCTTCTCCTTGGGTCGGATCTATTAATAGGCGCCGTGTTGTTCGATCTCATTAATTCCTGAAGGGAGTCGACTGCCCTCTTGACGGGACTTCCCGCGGCCTCACGCACACGCACACACACGCACACACACACAGCACACACGCACACACACACACACACACACAACACACACACAACACACACACACACACACACACGCACACGCACACACACACACACCACACGCACGCACACATACACACACGCACATGTACAAGCCCTACCTCGCTACCTCTGTCTCTCTCTCTCTATTTATGTATCTATTTGTCTATCTCCTCTCCCTCCCTGCCTCTCTCTCTCTCTCTCTCTATCTTACTGTCTGTCTATCTATCTATCTATCACCTCTTCCTCTCTCTCTCTCTCTCTCTTCTATCTATCCTATCCATCTATCTATCTATCTATCTCCTCTCCATCCGCTCTCTCTCTCTCTCCGCTTTCCAACCGTCGCTTTATCTCTGTCTTCACCTCTGATTGTGTCTCTGTCACTGTTCCGCCCCCTTTCTGTCTGTGTCTGTATCTCTCTCTCTCTCTCTCTCTGTCTCATCTCTCTCTCTTCTTCTCTCTCTCCTCTCTCTCTCTCTCTCTCTGTCTCTCTTGCTCGCTCCTCTCTTTCCTCTCTCTTCTTCTCCCCTCTCTCTCCTTCTTTCTCTCTCTCTCTCTCTTCTCTTCCTTCCCTCCTTCCCTCCTCTCTCTCTCTCTTCTCTCTCTCCTCTCCTTCTCCTTCTCTCTCCCTCTCTCTCTCTCTCTCTTCTCTCTCTCTCTATCTCTCCTCTCTCTCTCTTCCCTCTCCTTCTCCTTCTATCTCCCTCTTCTTCTCTCTCTCTCTCTTCTCTCTCTCTCTTCGCTTCCTCCTTCCCTCCTCTCTCTCTCTCTCTCTATCTCTCTCTCCCTCTCCTTCTCCTTCTCTCTCCTCTCTCTGTCTCTCTCACTCTCTCTTCTTCTCTCTCCCCTCTCCTCTCTCTCTCTCGCTCTCTCTCTCTCTCTCTCCTCTCTCTCTCTGGTCTCTCTCTCTTCTCTCTCTCTCTCTCTCTCTCTCTCTCCTCCTCTCATCTCTCTCTCTCTCTCCCTACTCCTCTCCTTCTCTCTCTCTCATCTCTNTTGTCCACTATAGTACTTATCTACATGCAATATTGAGTTATCACTATAAGTGTTCCATATATATATAATATTATATATTATATAATAATATATGTGTGTGTGTGTGTGGTGTGTGTGTGTGTGTGTGTGTTGTGTGTGTGTGTGGTTGTGTGTGTGTGTAGGTGGTGTGACCGTCGCCCTCCTTCTTCCTCTCTCTCTCTCTCCTCCTTCTCTGCTCTCTCTCTCTTCTCGCTCTCTCTCTCTCCTAATCTCTCTCATCTCCCTTCTCTCTCCTCTCTTTCTTCTCCCTCCTACCTCCTTGAATCCCCTCTCTTTTTCATCATCCTCCTCTCCCTCTCCTCCCTCACCCCACTGCTCTCTCCTCCTCTCCGTCCCACACCGCCCATCCTCCTCCACCTCCATCCACGCTCCTCATTCTCCATCCACTTCCCCTCCTCCTCACCTCTTCCTCTCTCTCCGCTCTTTATCTCCCTCTTCTCTCTCTGCTCACCCAATCTTCTCTTCCTCAATCCTCCTCATGACCGTCACGCCTTGGACATCAATCAGCTCCTGGAGTTTAATGAGGCGAACTGGCGATGACTTTATTTTCTGCACACAGTTGCATGGCGCTGGTAGGTTGAGGTCGTGCTTGGAGTGGAGCATGTCGTAAAACGGAATTCACGGGAGTGGGGTGTAATCGGTGGTGGGTGTGGGTGGCTGGTATGGTGATGATTGGTGTGGTGTGGGGGTTTGTTGGTATCTGTATGGTGACTGATCTGGTGTGGTGTGGGGTTGCTTCGTGGTATATAACTGATCTGGTGTGGGTGTGGGGGTTGTGGGTATGGGTGGCTGGTGGTGGTCGTGGTATGGTGGACTGATTTGGTGTGGTGTAGGGGTTTGTGTGGTATCGTATGGTGACTGATCTGGTGTGGTGTGGGGGTTGTTTTGTGGTATAATCGTAACTGATCTGGTGTGGTGTGGGGGTTGTGGTATGGTGGTGGTGTGGTGGGGTATGTGACTGATCTGGTGTGGTGTGGGGTTGTTGTGGTGGTGTGGTATGGTGACGTGGTGGTGGTGTGGTATGGAATGTCTGGTGTGGTATGATGGTGGTGGCTGGTGTTGGTGGTGTGTATGGTGTCTGTCCCTGGTGTAGTGTGGCGGTTGTTGTGGTGGTGGTGGTATGGGTGACTGATTTTGATGTGGTATGGTGGTTGTTGTGGTAGTGTGGTATGGTGACTGGGTCCTGGTGGTGGTGGCTGGTAATGTGGTGTGTGGTTATGGGTGAACTTTGGTGTGTATGGTGACTGTGGTTGGTATGTGGTATGGATGTGACTGGTCTGGTGTGGTATGGTGTGGTGGTGTGGTTATGGTGACTGGTCTGGTGTGTATGGTGGGTGGTGGTGGTGGTGTGTGGGTATGGTGACTGGTCTGGTGTGGTAGGTGGTGGTGGTGGTGTGGTATGGTGACTGGTCTGGTGTGGTATGGTGTTATGTGGTGGTGTGGTATGGTGACTGATCTGGTGTGGGTGGGGTTATTGTGGTGGTGTGGTATGGTGACTTGGTGATGGTGTTTGTGATTCTTGTGGTTGTGTGGTATGGCGGCTGTCAT